ATGTGTGTGTGTGTGTGTATTATATATATATATATATATATATATATATAAAGACAAAAGGAAAGCTTATCTTAGCTGATGCGTTTCATCCTCTGATTTTATCAAGGCAAAGGTGAGGATTTCATTTTCAACAAGTATTTATAAACAAAAGTAAAATGCTGTTGGTTTTTAAAAATTTTTAAATTTAAGAGACACTCAAAACTGAAAGGTTAACTGAAAGTTTTTGGTAAATTATGGAGGATGTTAAGTGATGTAATTTAATGCCTAATAAATGAAAGGGAATAAATTATGTTGTATATTTCTTTTTTTTTATAAAAAGAAGGTTATGAATTTAACTTAATTTTTTTTTTTTAACATTTTTACAGTTAAATATGTTGGCCTGGAAATGAAGATATTTGAAAATAAAAAATGGAACATAGATTTATATTTTGGTAAAATTTAATAGTGGTATTCTTGAGAATTTTCCTTCTAAGTAATTTACTTTCTCTTAATTAGTGTGGCATTCTTTAGATCAAAGTTGTGTTTGAATTTATTTTTATATACGACTATTATCATATTGATAGAAATACATTTTTAATTTTTGCAACTTCACTCAATATATTGTGAAGAGCAGTTGTGACAGTTTATTTTATATACACCTTCATTATTCACTTTTGTTTATTAGACATTAAATTACATAACATCTTCCATAATTTATCTCGACTTTTCAGTTAACCTAATGAATATTTATGAGTGTCTTTAATTTAAAAATTTTGAAAAACTAACAACATTTTTACTTTTGTTTATAAATTAAGATAAGTTTACCTTTTGTCTTTATTCATCTTTTACAGATATATTGTAGTTATACCTGAAATTAAAATAAAAAAAAAAAAAAAAAAAAACAACACAGGTGAAAATTTTTCTTTTAAGCTGTCCTTGCTAAGGCTGAGAACTGTTTAGCAACATGCTGTGTGTGTGTACACATAATATTTTATAAGCTTTGCTTATATCTTTTAATAGACTTGTTCACATTTTATTTGAAAATGTTCAAGAAAGGACAGAAAAAAAAGGAATGAAGTCAGTGAAGTAAAAAAAAAAAAAAAACAACAAAAGAAAAAAAACAAAAGGAAATTTTTTTATTATTATTATCTTTTTTATTTATTCAATCTCCTTTAATTATTTGGTTTGAATTTATAGCTACTTGCAAATATATCTGCCAAAATACATTTGATTTACAAGTTAAGAGAAATGACAAATTGCATGTGTTTTTTTTTTTTTGCATGCAAATGTTTTTCCACAGTCCTCGGTCGTTCTCAGATTCTTGGACAAAGTGATGTATCTATTGTTCTGTATATTGTACATTGACAATGATCAGCAACTAAGGCAAACTTTGCTGACAAAATAGGACTGTTTTATTAATTATGTAAATGCATTGTTAATGATTTTATTATAGAAATATGTTGAAAACTTAAGACAGAATGGATTGTCATTGGTTAGGGATTAATGCAAGCATTGATGATAATATATAACTATCGTATGTATAATATAAATGTATTGATAGTGAAATTACAGAAGTACATTGAAAATCAGACAGAAAGGGATTGTCAGTGGTCAGGAATTAATGCAAATATAGTATTGTGATTTATGTCAAAATAGACTCTACATTCAGTGTCCTAAGAGATGGTGGTCCACACTTCACTTGATATCAAGGGATGCCCTTGAAATGTAAACATGATTGGCCCCGATGTGCATACATGGGAAAGAACTATATGATATATAGATACCCACCCAAGAGAGAACAGAGTCCAATACATCCTTGTGAGAATGCCCATGTTCAGGGAAGGCCTCAAAGCCACACACCCACTGGTTAATAGTGATTGACAAAGTCCAGAATGAAATGAACAGTAATGTTATATATGAGAGAAAGTTTTGTGTTTTCATTTCTCTGTATGAGGTAACAGCATTGCATGAGTATTACTGACAGAATAGGGTTATTATGTTTAAAAACAATCATATTGTATAAACTTGTATTTACTTTTTATGGGACACAATGGAACTTGGCTGGGATTGAGACACCCACACATGGGTGGACGGTAAATGATTTTATCAGTCTAAAATGTCTGCTGTTTTATGGCAGTGAATGCTGGATAATCTTCTCACAGATGAGAAAACTAGAGGCAGCAAAAATGTGGTTTTACAGAAGGATAATGAAAATTCCATGGACGGAGGTGAGTAAGCAACAAGGAAGTCTTAAAGAAAATGGCAATAGAAAGAACACTTCTACTCAGAATCAAGAAAAAACAGCTGGAATTCCTTGGACAAATGAGGAAAGTGGGCTTGGAAAATTTAACCTGACAAGCTTGTGTGAATGGATAGCAGAACGGTGGGTAGGAGCTTTAGCAAAAAGAGAAAAACTGCAATGAGCAACAAGAGATAAGAAGTTGTGGAGAGCCATGGTTGCTCATGTCTTGAAAGGACAAGGTACATGAAAGTCAATAAAAATCTATGAAGTAAGACCTTCAAAGTGGCCACAAAGTGACCGAAAATAAATTTCTACCCATTGAGGGTATAAGCCATATATTAGAAAGGAATTGCAAACCATGTATCATGATGGTTAGAGGCGGTGGTGGGAAAGTTGGAGGCCTAAAGGAAAATCTCATTGTTAGTAGTGACGAGTGTCACCTACCTTTAGCTAGACAGTGTAAGTGAATCCATGAATAAACATCCAAATATATTGGAAACAGGATTTGCCTTTTCATTTCTAACCATGGGAGTTCTATCATTTTTCATTTCTATTTGAAAATACTGGGAGCTTTTCCCAATTTTTGTATGTATCAATGCTAGTGAGACTCGAGACAAATTTGGGATGATTTATCCAGTCAGTGAGAGACGGACAAAAAAGCCACATTATGTTTAAATTCATAACTGTTGTAAATGATCTGATAAGCAACCATTCCAGAAAATATACATTTTCGTTTTGGTTAGCATCCCATGATCAAAACTCAATGGCTACATCTTTTTCCTCGTTAAATCCTAACAAAGAAAAGTGAAAGAGAAAATAAAAAAGCAAAGAATTACTTTTTTTTTTTTTTGACCAGTTTTTGTCTGAATTCATTAAAAACATTAGTGAATATTCTCAAAATATATTCATAAAATCTATACAACCAAAGAATATTTCTTTAAAAACACTTTCATGGACACAAATGAAGTGTAAGCTGGCTAAGTCCGGGTCCTTAGTTTTAAAGAGAAGCATTGCTGTTGATAAATACCGCTTCTCTATAACAGAAATCACAATTCCATTATTGTGGGAAAGACCAATAAAGAGCCTGGGAAAATTATGTAATTGCAACTCGAGGGATACAACTTCTATTCAGGAAACAACGAAAGATCTCAAATCATGGTTAATTAAAAAAACAAAAACAAAACAAAAACAGTCAAACTTTGACCTTCATGCTCACACAAAATGGAGTATCAAAAGAATGTTTCTTTTTTTCCTGGATGCTGCTATTATTTCAACTACTTTCCCTCCTCAGCAATGTTTGTTGTTTTAAGAAGCGATTATTAGAATTGCAATTAAACTTATATATGATGAAAGTGAATTCATACATTTTTTGTTCTTGAGAAATTTACAACAAAAATGTTAAACACTATTTGTTTATTTACAAGAATTGTATATTTACAACATTCTAAAAATTAATACAATGCAATTTTTATTATTTCATAATTTATGAAGAAATAAATATGAAAACAATTCTATTCGTAAATTTATAAATATTTACAAAATTATTAAAATATGTGAACCAACTAACTAGAAGGAAATCCATGTTATTTCTAAAGCTCACATCAATTAGCATAATGTTTTGCCAACCATTCCAATAAACAATCTAATAGTGTTTATGGTTGTCAACTCTAAGGAACAAAAAAAATGTATAAATTCACTTTCACATGTTTAGGTTTTATTACAATTCTAATCATTGTTTTTGAAAAGAATAAACATTGCTGAAGAGTAAAGGTAGCTAAAAAATTAGCGGTATCAATGAAAAAAACGTCCTTTTATACTTAGTTTTTTTTTTTTTTATAGGCATTAGGCATGAAGGTCCAAGTTTGCCAAAAATGAGCATACTTTATTTGCAGATTATTAGAGGAACTAATTTTTTTACCGTTTTCAGCATGTCATCATTATGTAAAAAAACATGATGTAACTGATTTTCCAACATGGTTAACAGAAAATATTCTAAAACTCTTAATCATGCTGTTGAAAGGAACAAATAAAAACATCTCATGTGTGTTTGAATTATAGAAAAAATTTTTTCATAGTTCTATAAATGAAGTTAGGTTAGAATTTTTTTTTTTTTTATAAAATGTTAACACACCAGCTGTTTGAAAAGCAAATCAGCATTGTTGATTTGTGAGTAAGCAATCAACTTAGACATCAAAATAGCATATTTTCTTTCTGGGTGAGGATACCAGTAACAAATGTTCCTCAAAGTTAAAATGAAAAACTTGCTAATATTGATTGAGGCAAATTTTCCATGGGTTCAGTTTTGATTCAAGGTAATCAGTTCTTATCATTTCAAAGTAATAATTGAGACAGGTAGGAAAAAAAAAAAAAAATAAAAAAAAATAAAAAAATAAAAAAAATAAAAATCACAAAACAAAATTCACCAAATTATATTTTGGGGCTTTGTTTCTCAGAGTTCAAATTGTGTTTTGATCAAAAAGTACCATTCCTAAAAAGCTTTTTAGTAAATTCGGGCAATGTGGAGATTTTATATGAAATGTTTGTTCAGAATCAATCCTGAAATGCCAGAAAGATTCAGCCAGCAGAGATTTTACAAAAATTATTTTACACAAGGAGAAATAAGTTGGCTACTTTTATACAAAGCAAGTAACCATTTCACAATATGTGTGTGTGTGTGTGCGTGCATGTATATATATATATATATATATATATATATATATATATATATATATATTATTCTATAAAGTATTGTTAATTATTCTTCAACAAATATTCCTACCTTCAGAAAGACTGGAGTTTTTCACGTTGTCAAATCCAAAGGGATTTTTTATGGGTTCAAACTCTTCATTGCATGGTGGCCTTTGTATTGAAGATGAAGACACAACAACGAAAATACCAGGAACTGCAGGAATGGCATCACTTTGAGTACCTGGCGTTTGTGTAGTAACTCTTGGAATCACATTACTGTCAAAGGATTGAGAAATCGGTGGGAAAAAGTTTTCCATGGTAGTAAAATTGGGCACATTCATCTGACTTGTGAAGACAGATGGACTGTTAGTAGTTGAAAGAGGAGGATGTACACCAGCAGGATGAGGAGGAGGAGGAATGGTGTTGTGGCTTTCAGTGTTTGAGAGGCCAAGTATGTCACTGACTTCTTTAAGTCTGGGGAGATTTTGAGTGACAAACTCATGTTCAAAGTCAGTTTCACAATTATTGTCAAAGCAGCTGATATGATTGTTGACATTAGCAGCAGGAGACAAAACAGAACAGCTAATTTCTGACAGCATTTCTTCATTAAAACATGGAGGCAAACACATTGTTGAACTAAAGTTAAGTTCAGAACTTGAAAAAGGAAATGTTTGTGAGGAATAAAAACCATGCACTGAAGAGCCATTAATAAAATCCATTTCAGTGTTTACATTCTCAATTAGAAATGTTGGATTATCAATAAAATCCACAGTGGGCACTTCAAAATCAGACTCATCAAGATGGGAACATGGAGGATTAGTTTGGATCCCATTTTGATCTGATGGATTGCCCCGACATAATGAACTCTTTTCATCTTTAATGTTAAGGGTTATATCCTCTGGGCAAGGCTCATTGACATCAAGATCCACGTAAGTCATTGGGCACACTTTAGACTCGTCAAAATGGGAACACGGAGGATTAGTTTGGATTCCATTTTGATCTGATGGATTTCCCCGACATAATGAACTCTTGTCATCTTTAATGTTAAGGGTTATATCCTCTGGGCAAGGCCCATTGACATCGAGATCCACGTAAGTCATTGGGCACACTTTATTGGTGAGATCATTTTCATCTGGAGTGAAAGAATATTTCAAATCTTTATTTGAAGAGTTCCTTTCAAATAGGACAAGTGGAATGTCAGTGTTTAAAGTGGCTCTGCAAGAGTTAGTATTGAAAAGATAATTTTCCTCAGTGCTTAGACTTAGTGGAGTTCTTTCATCCAGAAAATTCTCGGCTATTTTGGCATAAGTTCTTTCAGGAAGTAAAGATGAATTTGATTCAGTCAAGGATAAAATGGATGCTAAAAATTTTGGTATTTTCTTCTGATTTCGATTAGAATTTGCTTGTTCTTGTCCCAGGCTATGGATTAAATTCAAAGTACCAATACACTGTGTATCATCACCAAAATTTAAAGCTTCCTTTTCTGTATTTGCATCCAGTTTTGAGTCTTGGACATTTTCTGGTTCAAAACTGTCATCTACACACACTTTGACTGGCTTGGGATCAGAGGAATCATTCTTAGAAGAGTCAGAACGGAGAGACATTTTCATCAATTCCATACATAACTCATCATTTGAAACATCCCGATTGCTTTGGGATGGAAGATCTAATTCAATGTAAGTCATTTCACATGAATCGTCACTCAAATCTTTATTTTTACTGTCTTGAGAAGTAAAGAGATCATCATCAGGCACAGTTAATATTCCTCCTTCTGCAGCCTCCAAATCTTCTTCATCTTGTCCTTCACTGTCAGGATCTGTTGTCACTTCAGACTGTGTCCCAGTGCCACTATCAAGAGATGCTACTTCATCAGAATCTAGCTGCAGTAAGCATTCTGTTCCAGAGTCATTGAAAAGGCTTTTGGCATGCAAGTCTATTATTTCATCAGAAATATGTAAAAGCTCTTCTTTGCATTCCTTATATGAAATTTGCCTGTACAGTTCGGACATCT